CTAGATATATGAACAATATTTAGGAATCAGAAGAAAAAAGTGCAAAAAATCTTATAACGAATTCGCGGGCGCGCAAAAACCTCCGAGGACACTCATTCTTTCCAAATATGCATTTTTATCGACGTATTTCGGTAATTTGTACTGTTACGATCGACCTTAAATTTTGCACACACCTAGATATATGAACAATATTTAGGAATCAGAAGAAAAAAGTGAAATAAATCTTATAACGAACTCGCGGGCGCGCAAAAACCTCGGAGGACACTCATTACCCGGAGGACACTCATTAGGGTGACCGACTTTCAACACGGAAGTTGCCTACATTTTCGCAATCGCAAAAACAAACAAGCATACGTCAGGAAAAGGGTGCTGAGTATTGGTGAAAGGGAAAAGACAGAGTGCTTCGTTAAAACGTGTTTGGGGGTGGCGTAAGTCACGAGTTCATATCACACAAGCGGTAAGAATAGTCGCTGTTCGATGACAGAGACAGGGAACAAATAACAGACAAAAGATGGCGACCCATGCGGCGGAACTTCACGACTTGCCGCCGTACACGGCGATGTTGTGGTCCCAATTTCAGGCTTGTCCGCCTCTCCTGTACAACTTGTTCGACTCGACAGTCCGCCCAGGGGATGTGGCTCATCAGTCCGACAAAGTGTTTGACGTGTCGGGATCTCTGATCAGTCACAAACTCAGGTAGGTGCCTGCTGAATCGGGCATCGCTATTGGCATTTCCTTTTGTTGTGTTTTCATTGGGGGTTGGTTTATGATGTAATATTGATGTGCCAATAACATTTTACAATTAACATGTCATTATTTCAGTTTATCATGTTGGTTTTGACAATTTTGTTGAAAAAGTAAGAGTTTGTTCAAATGCATCTACTTCAGTTTCTTCAGGAAAACAAATAATATTTTGATACAATGCATGAAATAAACCATGAGTGATTCACTGCCAGATGTCCTCAACAAATTCTCATTGATCATTACTTTATTTGCTTTAAGCAGAGACGTATAATAAGTATTTATACGTCTCTGCTTTAAGTAACCTCTTTTGTTTGAATAAGATAGTTTCTTTCCTGATACTGTCATAGAGTAAGGGTACGTGATTTCGTACAGGACGTGATTTCGTACACTAAATATGTTTTTCTTATTTTCTAACCGATCACTTTCGATGGAGGTATAAAATTGCTCCAAAAGCAAACCACCGCTTATTGTCCTTCTTCGGTGATGCTAAATATAGATTTCCCAAATAACCTCGTTTTCAAAACGAAACTAGCGAGTCGAGCTGTCGTCTGCAGAATGGGCCCAATGTAACTAAAGCATTATTTAAAACATAATCTAGCCAATTTTCTTGTGATCATTTTGAGATCATTTAAATAAAACAGTATTTTACCATTTACATCAAGAAGATATGAAAAGGAAGCTAAAATATAATAAATAACAGCGTTTTTTTAACGTACACGCCCTCTCAATTACAGGGCACCTATCGTAGGGAACAGTCATTATTTCGAAACTGATCTAAAATATTTGTTCGTTTTTGGCCTCAAAAACGTCTGGAGCATTGAAATTGTTTTATAAAACATCCAATGAAATATTTGCTTACTAGAATATGTATAGTTGATATTTTTCCACAAAAGGGTCGATGACACCACCAACAAAGGACACATTATTTATAAAAATTCATAATTTGTTCAAAAAACATTTCTGGTCTTTCAAAATCGTCAAATCTGAATGAATTATATTGAATTCATTCGACATATACTTATATTCGCTTTATTTACTTAGAAAAGCACATTTGTAGAGTGTACGAAAATCCCAGAAATCAACTGCCGCGAAATGTTGAAGTAAATGATGGTAAATGAAAGATCCCCTGCGCAGTAAATTTCTGCGCATTATGCCGTCACATTATCAAATATAGCACAGATTGCGTACATCTTTTAGGTCAAAGTAGATCCGATCTATCTTGGAGATGTATTTGAAAAAAAAAATGTAAATCTGTTTCAAAAGTGAACGAAATCAGGTACTCTCACTCTACATACATTTGTAGCCCAAGTTTCCTCTGCCCATGACGCTAGCCCGAGTTTCCTCTGGCCCTGACACCAGACTTAGACATTTTGACATACATAGATGTCTGGTGTGGGACCCCAGAAATCTATCTGTCAGATTGTCTAATTGCATCAATGTCAAAATGTCTAAGTCTGGTATGTGCCAGGGCCAGAGGAAACTCCCAAAATCTTCACAGTTTCAATTAGACAATGAAAAATTCCACTGTTGCCCGATTCATACAATGCACGTGCGCACCTTCTTAAACACATTCAAACGCAATCCGATACCAAATCTATAACATCGGTAAATATCTAAATGTCAACCAATCAGGACCCGACCTAACATGGACATTTTGTCGAATACAAAAAATCAACGCAGATCGCAGTAGTGTTCGTAGTGACACTGCACACTTTTGCATAGCGATATTGGACAATGCAACAATTTTGACTAATCAGAAGCCAGTCTGCAGCAGCCGTCTTCAAGAACACGATTATACAGAAGAAGAATTAAGTATTTTAAATAATTAAACCTCAAATTCCCCTATTGTGCCCCGCAACTCTACAAAACTATAGCTAAGACCCCTTTGCCCAAGGATACTCCAGGCCAAATTCGGATCAAATCCCTCAAATGGTACATAAGGAGAAGGATTTAAAAAATTAAAGATATAAACCTCAATTTCCCTTTTGAGACCCGCCCCTCTACACCCAAAGGGGCCATACACCGTTTATACAAGATCAAGTCCTTTTTGCCCAAGGATGTTCCAGACACTGGGTTTTAAAGGTTTTTCTTTCATTTCCCCTATTGGGGCCCGCCCCTCTCCACCCAGGGGGTCCAAACCCACCACTCTAACAAAATTGAGTCCCCTTGGCCCTTATCTACTGAGTCGTTCAGGACTAGTAACATTTTTAAGGATAAGTTGACGGATGGACGACGGACGCTGTGGTATGGCATAAGCTCACCATGGTCCTACTGACCAAGTGAGCTTAAATATGAAGTTCGAACAAGTTTAAAGTTTGAACAAGTTTGACGTTTGCGCAGTAGTTTCTAAACGAACAAGCCTAAATATACCACAATCCCCCAAAATCAAAATCAGTCTTCGTACTCATGGCAACGGGCAATATGCCTACTCCTAACACGATTTCTCACTCGGGTGAGAAATCAGAGGTGAGAAATCGTGTTGCAAACTCCCCAATTTTAGCACAATTTCTCATCGTGTCGGGGTGAGAAATCATGCTGTAACAGACGATTCCTTACATGTAGGTGAAATGCACTGAGTGAAAAAAGTCACCATATGATACATCTGAGTTTCCATTGGATAAAGTAAAAATGTTTGCCCTAAGAGCTGAGGATGGTAGGGTCACTGTTAGTTGCATGGGTTTCATAGGTAAATAAAATGCATTCTGTTATAGGCCACAGGGTTCTGGTACTTTTGAATTTATTATATATATTACTAACCCTGGCAACTGTTGTAGGGTTAAACTCTACCAAATACATGCACAGCTAGTTTAATTGTGCAATGGTTTTTGATGGTGTTTTATATATAGTCTAGAAAAAAGTCAATCCAGAGCAAAGTATCGCTGTCCTATATTTTCTCTACAGAAATATACAATGTTAAAGCGGCTTCGTCTCTATTAGTGAAATTGTATGTTGAAATGTCATGCCCATGCATGGTTGTTCATGTTCATGATCGCTCATCCTTAATTTCAAATTTTGACAAAATGCACAGACCAAAACAAGATAAATTATAAACTGCCAATACATTTATAAAACAACCTCACATAAAGCTGGAAGGTTCTCAAGAATAAGAGACAAAGTTTCACAATAGAAATCTTCAAAATTAATTGATCCTTTAATTTCTCTTTACATTACAGTGAGCTGATAGTGAAAAACATTGAAGAACTTCACCGTCTGACCAACGACCTACTCAATATGCCAATCTTGTTCCACATCAAAGTGGAGCATCAGCGTACAGACAACTACGTGGTGGTCAGAGTACGCAAGAAGTGGAAAGGCATGTTTCTTAAATGATTATCATTTTTAGCTCACCTGGTCCAAAGGACCATGGTGAGCTAATATATTATGCCATACCGGCCGTCAACTTTTCCTTTAAAACGCTACTAGTCCTGAACGGCCAAGTAGATTTTGACTAAATTTGGTCTGATCATCCTTAGGCCAAGGGGACTCAATTTTGTATAAACGATGGGTGTGGCCCCCCTGGGGGCAGAGGGGCGGGGGCCGATAGGGGAAATAAAGCAAATTCTTTAAAATCCATATTTGGTCTTAAGCATCCTTGGGTGAAGGGGAACCAATTTTGTACATGTATAAACCGTGGGTCTGGCCCGCAGGGGCCTGAGGGGTGGGGCCCAATAGGGGAAACATAGCAAATTCTTTAAAATCCTCCTTCTTTTTCTGTAGGAATGTAAGGATTTGGTCCATATTTGGTCTGAAGTATTCTTGGGTGAAGGGGAACCAGTTTTGTACAAACGGTGGGTCTGGCCCCCCTGGGGGCTGAGAGGTGGGGCCAAATAGGGGAAATATAGCAAATGCTTTAAAATCCTCTTCTTCTGTAGGAATGAAATTATTTGTTCCATATTTGGTCTGAAGCATCCTTGGGTGAAGGGGAACCAACTTTGTACATGTATAAACCGTGGGTCTGGCCCGCAGGGGCCTGAGGGGTGGGGCCCAATAGAGGAAACATAGCAAATTATTCTTTAAAATCCTTCTTCTACCATCGGGATTAAGGGATTTTATCCTAGTTTAGTCTGGAGCATCCCTGGGCCAAGGGAACTCAATTTTGTATAAGCAGTGGGTGTGGTCTCCCAGGGGGCAGAAGGACAGGGCCCAATAGGAGAAATAGAGGTAAAATCTTTAAAATCCTTTTTCGACCATCAGGATTAAGGGATTGTATCCTTATCTAGTCTGAAGCATCCTTGGGCCAAGGGGTCTTAATTTTATATAATTGGTGGGTATGCAGGTGTGTTTAAGATAAAGAAACAACATCTCATGACATGCTATGGTTATTAGTTAACGTTAGATATGGGATAAATAAGTGTCATAAACATTATCTTTATTTTGATAAAAACAAATAGCTCTCTTTAAGTACAAAAACATAATTTGATTGTGTAAAAAATCTCCAATGTTACTCTTACAAATTCACAGTTTATAATATGACATCACAAGCACTGGAAGCCAAATCCCAAAGAATTCATATAAATTGTACAGCTATATGGATGCAATTATATATATAAACTTTGATTGCTTTATGCACCTTTTACTTTAGTATAGATAACGTAACTGAAATATGAAAAAAATGATAAAGCTAGCAATTAAATAAAGTGTTGCACATGTTCACTGTTCAGTTGATTAGTATTTGAAATTTCCTGAGTTTCTTTGCTGTTCCTATTTATTTTTCATTTTGGAACCTGTGTCTCCTTTTTTGAAAAGACTAATTTTGAATGTTTGGTTCTTACAGATGAGTTTGCAGTGTTGGTAAACACACGTCACCCCCAGATTCGGGAGATGATCACTAACAAGCTTACACAGGCCATGCAATATATGCAGGAAGGAAAGAATTTTTGTCTGAAGGTATAAAAAATAACATTTATTTCCTCTACCCTGGATAGATGCATCCACACTTTTACCTGTGTGAGATTTCCTTTTCTCTTACCCTAGGGTTGAGACGGGGGGATCCCCCTACTCATTACAATGGTATGACGTCACTTCAACAATACAATGACGTCACGTCAACAATCCATCAACGTCAATTTAGCATATAACATTATCAATACAGCGTGTATATGATACACAATGGGAGAACAGGGTAAGAGAAAAAGAATCATTCACCCCCTTGTTGGTAAGATAGAGGAATATAAACCCTCGAGGAAAGATTCTAAAGTTGCCAAATACTCTGCAAAGCCTCATGTTTGGCAACTTAAGAATCTCCCCCCTCGGGTTGAGATTCCCCTATCTCGCCCCAAAGGGGGTGAGAGATTCTATTAGTCTCGCCCTACGGTTGAGACGAGGGGAATCACCTATTCATAACAATGGTATGACGTCACATCAACAATCCATCAACGTCACTTCAACCCTGAATTTAGCCTGTGATGTTAACATTACATTATGTATATGATACACAATGGGTGAACAGGGAAAGAGAAAAAGAATCATTCACCCCCTCGATGGTGAGATAGGGGAATCTCAACCCTCAGGGAAAGAATATTTCACCACTTTGAGGTGGTATTCAGAATCTCAACCCGAGGGTCGAGATTTCCCTTTCTCATCCTGAAAGTGGTGAAAGATTCTATCATTCTTCAATCAGATGTCTTGTATGATTTTTTGAGAGTTATACAAAGTATGACCTTGTTTAATGCCAATTTGTGTCGAGAGAAATTTTGATATTATAAAAGATCTCAAAGGAGATGTGTAATGGAATTGATAAGGGAAGGAGATATGTTGTTGATAAGCAGGGTTACAAATAGAACAACAGGTAACCTTTTCATATACATGCTCTTATGCAAGTAGCTGTCATCGGATACATCATAAATACATTGTCAACCAATTCCTGATGAAGTCCAGACTGCTTTAGCTTATGAATCCAGCAAACTTTGCCAAATTGTTTCATTCACCCCTAAACACATATTTGAACTCTTCCAATTCAAAGATTGGAATAGTTCAAATATGAAATTTCAGGGGTGAATGAGTGAAACACAATCCTAACAAAATTTTTGCTTTTCCAGTTTGTAAACTATTAAGTAAAAAGTCAAAACTTTTATATATAAAAACAAGAGGCCCATGGGCCTTAAGGGTCACCTGAGTCCTAGAGCATTTATTTTTGTTGTTGAAATATGTACCAATTTGAGTAAAAAATAGTTAATAACTTTAATTTAAGTTTGTCAGGACCATGAGCTGATCATTCCTAGACTGATTTTCAGTTAAATCTGCCTATTATAACTTGTTTTTAAGTTTGAAATAGTTTTTTCAAAATGGCTGCCGTGGCATCCATATTGGATTTCTGATTGACCCGAAAAATAACAACACTTTGTCAGCACCATGAGTTGATCGTCCCAGCAGAACTTGACTTTAAGTTTGAAATAGTTTTCAAAATGGCGGTCGTAGTGGCCATATTGGATTTCTGATCGACCCGAAAAATAACAGCACTTTGTTAGGACCATGAGTTGATCATTCCTACCAAGTTTCTGTTCAATCAGCCTAGCAGAACTTGACTAAGTTCGAAATAGTTTTTAGCCCACCATGATCTGATGGTTGGCTATTCAAATCACCCTGCGTCCGTGGTCCGTCGTCTGTCCGTCGTCCGTCGTCCGTCGTCTGTCCGTAAACAATTCTTTGTTATCGGTATTTCTCAAGAAGTACCAGAGGGATCTTTCTCAAATTTTATATGTAGGTTCCCCTCGGTCCTTAGCTGTGCAGGGCAATTTTTGAGACTGATCGGATAAACAACATGGCCGACATGCAGCCATCTTGGATTTTGAAAATGAAAGTTTGTTATCGCTATTTCTCAAGAAGTACCAGAGAGATCTTTCTCCAATTTTACATGTAGGTTCCCCTTGGTCCTTAGCTTTGCAGTTCAACTTTTGAGACTGATTGGATAAACAACATGGCCGACAGGCAGGCATCTTTGATTTTGATATTGAAAGTTTGTTACCGCTATTTCTCCAGAAGAACTAGAGGGATCTTTCTTAAATTTATATGTAGGTTCCCCTTGGTCTACCTGTGCAGGACATTGTTTTGAGACTAATCGGATAAACAACATGGCCTACAGGCAGCAATCTTTGATTTTGATATTGAAAGTTTGTTATCGCTATTTCTCAATAAGTACTAGAGGGATCTTTCTCCAATTTTACATGTAGGTTCCCCTTGGTCTACCTGTGCAGGACATTGTTTTGAGACTAATCGGATAAACAACATGGCTGACAGATAGCCATCTTGGATTTTGATAGGGAAAGTTTGTTATCGCTATTTCTCGGGAAGTACGGGAGGGATCTTTCTCAAATTTTAAATGTAGGTTCCCCTTGATCCCTCGTTGTGTATGCTTTATTTTGAGACTGATCATAAAAACAAAATGGATTAAAAGAAGAACTAAACAGATCTTTCTCATATTGCAATGATCGATTCTATTTCTTTCTCATTAAGTACTGTACTAGTAAATATGTGAAATGACAAACTCACTTTAAAGGTTGGCTTTCATACACATCAGTATTAAGTTTAGATCAAAAATTACCTCAAGGTGCATTTACTGTTAACATGACTCGATCAAACAGATTAGAGGAAAGAAGAGAAAAGATTGAACTGACAAAGAACTAATGAAGATGGTACAAAGGTGGGCGCCAAGATCCCTCTGGGATCTCTTGTTTCAAAATGGCGGCCATATTGGATTTCTGATGGACCCGAAAAATAACAACACTTTGTAAGGACCATGAGTTGATCATTCCTACCAAGTTTTAGCTCAATCGTCCCAGCAGAACTTGACTTTAAGTTTGAAAAAGTTTTTTCAAAATGGCGGCCGTGGCAGCCATATTGGATTTCTGATGAACCCGAAAAATAACAACACTTAGTCAGGGAGATGTCAGTTACCTTCCCTTGCAATATTAATGAAATCCCTTTGCCAGTATTTCAGCTTAAGTTGAAAATGTAAAATGGATAGCAATAGGTCACTTGAGCTCAAGTTCAGGTGACCTAAAAAAATAAATATATAATATATACATGTAGAATAAACATAATTTTTAAAAGATATGTTTTTTGACATAACAATTCTTTCTTCCATATTTCAGTTGGACTTTGGACCTAGTGTGCGACAGTGGTACAGCGGTATCGTGGACAGCCAGGTGACGTTTTGTGACAGTCGATCCAACAATGATTCAGGTCACATGACCCTTTGGGTGACCAATTACTCGACCCCAATGGAATGTTGCACATCCCTCCTCTGTATCTTCATATGCTTTCCTCTCTGGCTGGTGTGTGGCGGGCCTTGTTACGTGGTAAGTACAGTGGTATGCCTAGAGACTAATTAATATAACAACACTGATATTCTCGAAGCAATAACAAAGAACAACTCTGACTTACCTAAAAACTTTTGGTCTGCTCAAAAAGATATAATAACCATAGCAACTACATGTACCACTTTTCAAGTTGACATTTGTCTTGTAGCTTTTTGTTCGTTTGATGTCATTTCCTTAATATTATATTTTATCTGACTTTTAAATGGCCCTAATTATCTCTCCTGTGTTGATGGGCCGTTAAGAAAACAATAAGTTAGTACCTAGCTTATGTAAACCAAGGAAGACCTGTGTATTCTGTCATCCTGCCCAGTCTGACCAATATGTTGTGCCAACAGGATATTGGAATATGAGAGGTGATCGGTTGTCCTGTAAGACAGGTTCACTGTATAGGAAGCTGCTTTATTCTGTTTCAAAATTTCTCACAGTTACATACTTTGAACATTCATGTATTCCGATGCATTCACAATTGATCAAAACCCAAACAAAACATATAAAACTTAATACCTTGATTCGTATGCAATTTCAAAATAATTCATAAAATTATTGTTTTGTAGACTCACAGAAAAATAAAGTGCATAGATGAAGAACAAGAATTCAATGACTTCCCTGTGACTTTGCTGTCCGGAGTGACCAGAACTGTCACCATTCAGAGGCAAGCACCTGTTCCCCAGGCCCCTCAATACCCATCAGCCCCTCGGAATCAGCCAATGCAACAGTATCCTCCACAGGGTCCGATGGCACAGCCTCCCTACAACCTCCAGGGTCCGCCCAAAGGACCGTACCCGCCAGTGGCGCCTCCAGCCTATCCTGGGCCACTTCCACAGTACACAGCTTGAGGTAGTTTCTGATTCAAACATGAAACACGATGCCTGAAAACATCAAAATCTATATATGGAACAATCTAGTATGTAACAAGCTCCTCACTTCGTCCTAGTGCTTTATGTAGACTTTGACATCAAACCAAGTTTAATGGTGGACAGAGGTCATGACCTCAGTTCTATGTCAGATTATTATTGTCAAGGTCAGTGGTTGTATGTCATTGACCATTATGCCATGGTCATTGGTTGTGATGAACTTTATACCCTAGTGTAATGGTGGTTTGTTTGACCTTGAACCCAACATCATGGTAATTGGTCTTTGTGAACTTGACCATGATGACTTATCTTGATCCCGGTGATAAAAACGCTTTTTGATATTTGATATGCAACGATGTTCAATATGGTGGTGGACATTATTGAAAAGTGCTTTTTGTAACAAAACAAATTCATTTTGCCATTTATATATAAACGTGTACAGAACTTTGTCAGCTGCGATTCCCATACATGTAATCGTAGAAACATCATGCTTTAGTTGTGTGTATTCTATATAACAGTGAAATATGTTGTCAACATATACAAATTACCAGCTAATGAAATACAGTATAACCTATCTAAACCGGATGTCACCAGGACCAAACTATTTGTCCAGTTTACACAGGTGTCCGGTTTATACAGGGTCGGCATGTCATTTTTTGAAAATACAAAAATGTAGTGTTTTGCATATGATCTTTTTACAAGTGTGTCAACATAAACAACAGAGAAATTAATCAATTGCAACCTTTAATTATTAACAAAATATAGAGTATATAATACAATGAAGGGCGACCCAGCATTGGATAGCGCTAATTTGTTAAGAATGTGTTTGCTTTAGATTTAGCCTGCAGAGAAATAATTTCAGGACCGGAATGAACAGGTTGTTTTTACATGGATTACTATGCCATCTTTTGTGAAACAACGGCAGTTTTCGGAATGGACAGGGTCCGGTTTATACAGGGTTTAACTACTATGATTATATAGGGAATATGCCGGGACCACAAATTTCCGCTGGTTAAGACAGGGATCTGGATTAGACAAGGGCCGGTTTAGATAGGCTATACTGTATAATGTTTCATTGTCAGGAAATTTATATATATTGACATTTTCCTGTTTTTGAGCTGCACAACATTAAATGTTGTTAGGTTGTATATTTTACGATATTAACTTACACACTGCTTTATACAGTGATTTTGTGCCATAGTTTACATGAATAAGTTAGTCTCATTATAATTAACAAAACATTGTCAGAATATGGTTGATGAAAAAAAAATGTTTTCAAAAAACAAAACCCCTACCTACCAATTCTAATGTTCTTGCAAATGCAATTATGAATTGCCATAATGTTTTTTGGGGGATTTCAAGAGGATGTGATTCTCCAATAAAGCTTGTCGCTGATCGCCAATCTTCATATTTTTAAGTTCAAGTTGACCCCAGTATTTCAAATATTAATTCATTGTAAATTGTTTATTTTCTTAAAGCATTTAAGATCAGATGAATGAAATTAAGTATATCTCCAGTATTCAAGTATTAATAGAGTACAATTATCTATTAATTATCATTAATACGGACTTCAGATCCTCAAAAAAAGCTGCTTCTGATGCCCAAAACTATAAACTTGCCTAAGTGGTAATTCAAAAGATAGTACATTGTATTCTCACCAAAAAATTCTTCAAAGAATGGAAAATTTCTATTTCACTAATTTCAAGGCATGTGTCACAGTGACTGATCTTGAGGACTTTATTCAAATGTGGTGACAATACATGTGTTGGAATTATATTTTGCTGCAAATTTAATATTATTTTGTACAACATATTTATATTTTGAAGACAGCAATATGCTGTGCCTTAAAATATGTTTTTTTTCTACTTGAAGGCTTTATCCTACAGAGAGTACACTTTGTGTTTATAATGTTTTTTCTGTTTTTATGTTATAAACTTCTTGTTGCTTTGTGGCGTATTTAGTTCAGCTCTAAATCAAAACTAGGCTAAAGCTCTAAATCAAAACTAGGCTAAAGCTCTAAATCAAAACTAGGCTAAAGCTCTAAATCAAAACTAGGCTAAAGCTCTAGATCAAAACTAGGCTAAAATGCTTTTCAGATCAGTTATAGCCTAATTGAGAACTCATTTAATGTGTCATGATTTTTATATGCAGCTTATATTTTTATGTGCTTATTACAGAAAAAGAATTTGATATATTTCAAATATAATTGCATTTTAATCATATTTTGTAAAACTCTTAATATGCAATTAGCTTATTTAATCATATTTTTGAAACATTTAGCAATGGATAACTTGATAAGATATTTTATACCGATATCTTTTACACTTGAAAACATGACAATTGTGAAAGAAAAAACCTGTCATTATTGACATCAACAGGGCCGATCAAATATGGCTCGTGACATGAATATCATATTCGAAACTAGATTTGTTGGCCGACACTTGTATTAATTACAGTCATATTACATGATGTCTGACACATCAGGTGTCAGTAAAGACAGGTTTTACTGAACATGATATATTCAACTGTTGGATAATGACATGATTTACGTAAATATGACCAGCACAATGTCAGATTGTTTATCAAATGGTTGTGTATATTTTTGCGTTCCATATTTTCTTCTAACTTGTTGTATTTATATTAACATTGCAATTTATTTTGTCATGCTTGCCATTGCTACAATGCATTTTTATATACAAGTTTGTATATATTTAACTACATGCTTGAATTTTTCACAAGGGACCTTACAAGTGTTTGAACTAGAAAATTTCAAAATTATTTACTGAAAAAATTATATATTATTTTTGATTCCATAATTTATTGGGAAAAAATGAAGAAAATGAAGAACAAAGACGCCCACTTGAAATGTTGAGAGAAAATTTGGTGATGTTGTACTGGTAAATGTGACTTTAACAATAACTGTTTAAATGCATTGCAAACACCATTCCTGTCCAAGACGGCAGTGATGACCAGGGGAGGTAACTCTAACAGCTAAGGAAAGCTATGTATCATACACACCATAAACAATAGTTTATAGCTTTGAAACAATAATCTTAGTTACACATAAAGATGAAAAAGTATATGGTAATTTTTGCATGAACCCTTGCCTGTACATGACTGCTGTGTATTTTAGTGAACAACATGTACTTCTGAACAAACTGCTGGTAATTCTTAATCTACTGGTGATTGAATACATGTATTTCCAGTTTTAAAAACTTATGTCTGGTTGAATGTCGTTGTGAAATGTGAAATATTCCCATGATTTTGTATCGTATGTGTACATGTGTGGCAGGGTTCAATTGTACATAGGATTAAGGTCGCCTTCTAGCTTCGAGCTAGAGGGAATTTCCCTTTAGCTCAGTGGTAGAGCGTCCGACTAGGAACCTGGAGATCGAGGGTTCGATCCCCGGTGGAAGCACACTATTCTCTTTCCTGTTACAAATGGTGTCCGTGGCCCTCCCTGTGGTGACAGGGAGTTAGAACCTGGGTTGTGGTGTTCGAGGGCGAACACATTTAAAAAGGGGGGAGTAGTGTGGCAGGATTCAATTGTACATAGGATTAAGGTCGCCTTCTAGCTTCGAGCTAGAGGGAATTTCCCTTTAGCTCAGTGGTAGAGCGTCTGACTAGGAACCTGGAGATCGAGGGTTCGATCCCCGGTGGAAGCACACTATTCTCTTTCCTGTTACACATGTTTACAGTTCTCCTGTAACTCCAAACATTTCATTTGTAGAGCAAAATAATACTACAATTCAAAGATAAGTGTTTCGTGCTCAAGATATGATATTCATCAGTGTTCAATTCTATAACGGTTGTACCAACCTATGAATGGAAAGAAAACTAATTAAAGAGTGAACATTCTTCAGAGGATGATTTTTCGTGTCCAAACAAAATTGTCTTAAATAAGATATCGGAAATAGGCCTGTTTATATAAATCAGTTGTTTTAGATATTTTCTCTCGTTTTTAACGGATGACGTTACAGCATAGAACAAAAATACATGCGAGTGTATAAAACGTGATAATTTGGTATCAAATGGCCGATTTAGTTTACTTAGTTTTTTTGTTCTGAGGTTACAGTGGTCCCTTATTTGTAAAGATACAGATGTATTGTTACTGCCATCGGTTTTATTTACAAAGTCGTACTTATTGATATTTTTAGAAAAAATAAACAAGTTTGTATTTAACATAATAATTTTGATCTGTTATTCATACAGTATATGTACATCATACGCACACCCACATACACTCCGAGGTTTAATGCTGCTGATCATGAGGGCCTGTTGTATTATGCAGTGAAATGGTATTTTTAGGTCACCTGAGCTTTGCTCAAGTGACCTATTCTAATCGCTTTCCGTCCGTCGTGTGTCGTGCGTAAACTTTTTACATTTTCAACTTCTTCTCAAGAACCAGTGGATGGATTTTTTTCAAACTTGGTCAGAATCATCCTTGGTAGATGAGGCTACAAAATTGTAAAATTGGGATTCCTACCCAAACCCCCGGGGCCAGGGCGGGGCCCCAAAGGGAAAATTAACCAATATTTCAAAAATCTTCTTCTTCAGACTCAGAGGTACTTCAGTCATTTTCTCTACATGAAAAGAAAGATCATCAGGGGCTTTACTTAAATTGTAATTTTCAGGACCCCCCAGCTATTCGTTCTCCCTTGGGGAGTGGGTAAAGTTTACTATAGTTTATATAGGGAAATAACACTTTTGGGTATATTTTGACAACTTTCTGTAGGAAATTATTTTTACTTGGTCAGAATCATCTTTGGAGGAAGATGGTTTCAAATTGTAAAATAGAGAGTCCTACCCCAACCCATGGGGCCAGGGCGGGGCCCGAAAGGGAAAATTAACTAATATTTCAAAAATCTTCTTCTCCAGACTCAAGGGGTACTACAGTCATTTTCTCTACGTGGAAAGAAAGATCATCAGGGGCTTTACTTAAATTGTAAATTTCAGGACCCCCGAGCTATCCGTTCTCCCTTGGGGAGGGGGTAAAGTTTACTATAGTTTATATAGGGAAATAACACTTTTGGGTATATTTTGACAACTTTCTGTAGGAAATTATTTTTACTTGGTCAGAATCATCTTTGGAGGAAGATGGTTTCAAATTGTAAAATAGAGAGTCCTACCCCAACCCATGGGGCCAGGGCGGGGCCCGAAAGGGAAAATTAACTAATATTTCAAAAATCTTCTTCTCCAGACTCAAGGGGTACTACAGTCATTTTCTCTACATGAAAAGAAAGATCATCAGGGGCTTTACTTAAATTGTAAATTTCAGGACCCCCGAGCTATCCGTTCTCCCTTGGGGAGGGGGTAAAGTTTACTATAGTTTATATAGGGAAATAACACTTTTGGGTATATATTTTATCCATTTTTAGCAAAAAATTACTCAAACAGAATTGGGATTCCTGCCCCATCCCCAGGGGCTAGGGCGGGGCCCCAAAAGGAACATTTACCAATATTTTCAAATTCTTTTCCTTTGATGACATGACAAGTATTGTATTTCACTTAGTTTACATGCTGATTTCCACATCACATCTAAACAATAAAATAAAGCTACCAGTACCTATGATATAACTCAGGTGACCGCTAAGGCCCAAGGGCCTCTTGTTTAGGTTCAAATTGGATTTGTTTCCCCCAGCAACT